AAAAAAAAAAAAAGAATCTAAGTAAAAGAAACAAGAGACACAGCAGAAATCCAGAAGAAAGAGTTTACTATGAACATTTCCAGTCTAGATATCCTGGAAAAATTCTTGGAAGTATACAACCACCCAAGGCTGAATAAAGAAACAGAAAATTTGAGCAAACCAAACACAAGCAAAGAAACTCAGCAGTAATCAAAATGCTTCCAAAAAGAAAAGCCCAAGACCTGATGTTTTAAAAAAGCAAGTTCAACCAGACATGCAAAGATGAATTCCGAGCCTGCTCAAAGTCTTTCAGAACACTGAGAGAGAATACTTCCCAAGACATTCTATGACGTCAACATCACACTAATATCAAAACCAAACCAAGACAACATAAAAAAAGATAATCACAAGCCAATCTCCCTAATGAACAGACACTAAAATTTTGCAAACTGAATCCAGCAATGCATGAAGACTATTATAAACCGTGAACAAGGGGGATTTATCCCAGGTATACCTCAGATGGGTCAACATTCCAAAATCAATTAAAGTTATTCGCTATATCAACAAAAATAAAACCATGTAACCACATCAACAGATGCTCAGAAAGCATTTCATGAAGTTCACCATCATTTATGATAAAGACTCTTGAAACACTTAGGATAAAGGAAACATATGTTAACACAATAAACGCCACACACGACAAACCCACAGCTAACATCACTCTGAAAACTGAAAGCCTTCCTAGGAAGATCTGGAACCAGCCAGGGATGTTCACTGTCACCACTGGGTTTTCTATATAAAATTGGAAGTACTGGCGAGAGCAAGTAGGCAAGAGAAAAATGAAAAGGAATACAAACTGGCAGAAAAGTGAAACTATTATTCTTTGTACATGATGTAATATATAGAGAACCACAAAAAATGCATGGAAAAAAATTAAACAATAAATTTCAGTAAAGTGGCAGGTGAGGACAAAATCAATACTCACATACAAGATGCCTTTCATAAACCACCCTTTGACAATTGCACATACACACACACACACACACACGCACACAAACCCTACCTGGGAATACACCTAACAATGGAGGTGTATACAAGGAAAATTATAAAATAATGTTAAAAGAAACCAAACAGAGCGAAACGGAAAGCCATTCCCTACTCATAGATTGGAAGTATCAACAAAATCAAGTAGGCCATCCTGCCCAGAGCAACTTATACATTCAAGTTCAATAAAAATGTCGATAGTGTTCTTCAAAGAAATGGAATAAACATGCTGAAAATTGTACACAACCACAAAAGAGAGGCAAATCTCTCCTGACTAAAAATGGGAAGAAGGGCGGTATTACACTTCCAGACTTCAAGCTATAGTATGAAGCCAACCTAATTACAACAGCCTGGTACTAGGGAGAAAAAAGTTACACAGGCCAATAGGACAGCACTAAAAGTCCAGAAACAAAAGCACACGTACATGGTCAACTACTATACGACAAAGAAGCAAAGAATATACACTGGAGCAAGGAGAGCTTCATCAATAAGTGGTGCTAGGTAGGACTAGTGGACAGCCACACGCAAAAGAATGTTCCTAGACCACACCGTCACACCGTCCACAAAACCACCTCTAGATGGGTGAAGACTTGGATGTAAGACCTCTAACCGAAAAACACAGAAGAAAACAGGCAAAACACTCCCTGACATACACCTCAGAAACATCTTTGAGAACTCATCTCCAGAAGCAATGAAAGCAAAGATAAACCCCTGGGATGACATTACCTCACACTCAAAAGCTTTGTGAAGCAAAGACACAGCCAACATGATGGAGAGAGACCCCACTGAATGGGAGAAAGTACCTGCTCTCCATACAACTGGTAAGAGATGGACATTTAAAAAACTAGAGTTTGCGAAACTCAACAGAAAGAAAGCAAACAGCACTATCAAAAAGTGGGCAGTAGAGCTCAAAAGACCCTTCTGCAAAGAAGAAATAAATGTACATGGCCAACAGTCAAGTGAAAAAAAAAATGTCCTCATCAATTACCATCCAGGAAATGCAAAATCAAAACCAGTCAGAGACCACCTCACACGGGTGAGAATGGCCCTATCAAACAAACCAGGGACAAGAGATGCTGGTGAGGACTGGAGAAAAAGGAACCCGCTGCTGTGGGAATGTAGGCCCCCATGGAGAGCTATGTGCAGGACCCTGAAAACAACGACAATATCCACCCAGATATCCCACTCCTAGAAATCTGCCCAAAGGTCACAAAACAGTAAGTCAAAAGGAAACCTGCACTCCCTGCAGCACCATGTGCGCACAGTACCTGAGATATGGGAGCACCCTGAAGGCCCCAGAAGAGATGAACAGACCAACATGTGGTATATACACAGTGAAATACTACTCAAGGATCAAAAAAGATAGTTATTCTATTTAGTGCAATAGGGATGAAGCTAGGAGGAATGATGTGAATGGAAGCAAGTTGAAAGGAGAAAGACAAATGTCAGATGCGTCACTTATATGTGGAATATAGAGAAACCAAACAAAGGGTCAAAGGCTAACCATGGAAGGTGACCACAGGTCTGAAGTATCCAAAGGGAGGGGAAGGGGTGAAAACACTGGGCTATGACAGAGATGCCAGAAGAGGGATATGACGGGGTGGGAGGAAAGGGTAGAGGGGCCTCTAATGGAGGATAACTGGAGCTTTGGTGGCGGGTGTGGTAAAGAACATACAACTGTAGAGGGTAAACCTAGGTTCCTAAGACATGTACTGTGATGACAATCTACACAGCCTCATTAAATATAGCTTAATTAAAGAAAGGAAAGCCATGAGATAGTCCCCCAAACTGTGAGAGTGGCCCACATCAAAAAGACCAGAAACAAGGTACTTGGAGGGAGTGGAGAAAAGGAACCCTCTCACCCTGCTGGAGGGAAAATGCATTAGAAGGATTATACACCATGACCAAGTAGGATTTATTCCAGAGACACAGAATGGTTTGACATACTCAAAATCCCAACAATGGACCTGCGGTATGACCCAGCAATTCCCTCCTAGGTTCTACCCAAAGGACACAAACACTAATTCAAAGGGATGGCGGCATTCTGTGTTCAGTGCAGCCAGTTTACAATACCCACGTTAGAGAGGATAGACGAACAGATCTGGAAAAAGTCACAGGAACATACACATATGCATACACATGTGGAATACTACTCAGCAATTAAGAAGTTTTAAAAGATCGCTTCAGCCATTTGCAGCAACATGAATTCAAATGGAAAAGGACAGTGCTAAGTCGGAGAGAGAAACAACCGTCAATCTCACATACTGATGGTCAAAAAATGACAAGGGCCAGTGCAAACCAGTAACAAACTGAACATCTGACCACAAAGCTAGTGGGGGAAGGAGGGTAACAGAGCACACTGGGTGCTGTGGAGGGCAGAGTGAAAGCAGACATTGCAGAGGTTTTGAACCTATAACCCCTAGGGCAGATTTGAGGGTGTGAACCTACTTTACCTCAAGAAAGGTTAGGGGGAAAAAATGATATTGAGTTTCAAAACTAACAGGTAAGACAATCTCAGTGGGGAACTCAAAATAGGTCTTTTTGTTATTGTTAATGCTAAGGATCTAAAAACAAACATGCTAGGAATCTGTAGTCCTCATCCTCCTAATGAAAATGTACACCCTGCACACCTACAAGCAGCAAATGTGTTACATCGGAACAGATGTCCTGTTGTGACATGTCCCTGGAGCAGACAGACAGGATAACAAGTCCCTGGAGCAGACAAACAGGATAACCCGTCGGGGCCACCATGAGTAGACAGAGGGACCAGGCAGACCAGCTTCTGGGAAGGGTGGGTGTGAGAGCCCACCCATGGGAATACAAACAGACCGACTCCAGCTGTAAGTGGCGCTGTTGATGCGGAAGGTAACCCTAAAGGGGAACAGATTCACCTGCTCTCGGCTCACCTGCTCTCGGCTCATCAGCCAGGTGCCTGTCAGGAAGCCTCTCTCCTGACCTCTTCACTTCTTGCCTGACCTAAGCAGTTAATGTTCCAGTATGGTGCACCCACCACCTTTTTATCCCCTGAAGCAGTTTCATGTTGACTGAACATTACTGCTCCCGTGTCCTGACCTAACTTCGGTCATCCCTGCAGATGATCCCACCACCTGCTAATTGCCAGTGGTGTTGGTGCTTGTGCAATGGACACCAGCCCTGAAAGAAATGCCCTGACACCACACGACAAAAGTGTAATCTCCCTTCCTTGGCAAGACTCACTGGACTAGGGCCATTCTCGCCTGCACTGCTGGAAAGCATGAGCAAAACCTAACTCTTCCCCCAAACTGCTATGGAGTAACCACTAACCAGTTC